ATCAACTTGATGGTAGTGGGTTATGGTTTTAGGGCCTTTACCCATCTCATTTGCTATCTGCCTAGTAGATCCTTTGCTGCTCACCCTCCAATTTGGTTAATTTTATTCTCCAACTTTGGTAAAGGATTACTGGTTGGAGAAAATGAAATGTGCCTAAAATTAATTCCCAGGCTGTTTAATTTCATTTATCCACTTTTCCAAGATGTTTCTTCCCCTCTTGAGCAGATATTTATCACATGCCGGATCAGCTTGCATAGGCTGACTTAAGAATTCCATTCTTGAGGAGTGAAATTCCCTCAACACATTCTCGGGGAAGGAGCATGCAGCAATGAGCTGTAGCATCCCTCTTCAGACCTTTACTTGCTGCCATCTACGTGGGTAAGAATACTTCTTCCCCAGACGTTTTCAAAGTGGAACTCTCCAATCACTAAAGCACAAGGTCATGTCCCGGTGTTTCCCAGAGGCAGGTTCCCCCACTAGAAGCTGGACTGAGAGAATTATAACTGCCTAGAGAAAAAAGTAGAGATACGAGGTGCAGAGAGAAAAAGTGTGACGCATCTGATGTTTTGCCCTCCCTGAACTTTAGTTATGTAAGCCAAAAAAGCAAATTCTTGTTTGCACCAGGTAGCCTGATCTGGAATTCTGTTAGTTGCAACCTGAGTAGTCCTCACTCAAAAACAAAACAAACCCGTTGCCACTGAGTCAGTTCTGATTCATGATGACCCCCATGCCATGTGTTATAGAGAACTGCTCCATAGGACTTTCTGGGCTATAATATTTATGGAAGCAGAATGCCAGGTCTTTCTTCCATGGCACCACTGGATGGGTATGAACTGCCAATCTTTAGGTTAACAGTTGAGTGCAAACTGTACCACTAGGGACACTGAAGATAGTTCCAAAAACTGTGCATAAACCTCCCATCTCCCCTTAAACAAGAGTATACAAAAGTATTTCTTTTGAAGAATGTAAGTTTATTTTGTAAATAATCACTTCCAAATTTATACACAATACAAATATACACATACAAATCCAAATCTTCAGACATTTGAATTACTTATAACACACCAGTATTATTATACAATTGGGTGGAATAACAGCTGAAATACACTGTAGGCAAGTTGTTCCAGTTTTTCATATTCAATTTGAAAGATCAGAAAAGTTTATCAGTCACATAGAGTATTAAATACTTTGGGACAATAAAAACATTACATCCACTCTATTATATGATACAATGTAACTGAATATTTACTTAAGTAGTAAAATGGTTAAAAAACGATTTGGATTGTAATCAGAAGAATGTAATTGTAAATCTGTAGAAAGATAAATATTTTCCAAAGAAAACTCCAATAAAAAATCTTTCTCAAACATTTTATATACATAAAGAATAAATTATTTTCATTTAACTTATTTTTTAGTGTCCAAAAAGCCACAAATTTGATAAACTTCTGTTAAAGCCAAAGTTTTTCTAAACATGAGTTCCACAGTGCTGTCTATATGATGTTTGTTAAGAAATGCCAAAATTCTTAAAACACAACACATTAGGGTGAGGAAGAGAAATGCTTGACAATACCAACATGTTTAATTGACAGGCAGAGAGGCTGGTTAAAAGGAGTCTAGGAGATAAGAGGGGAAAACAGGGAGATTATATATCACTAGTTACAGCTATAAAGAACCAAAAAAACAAAACAAAACAAAACAAAACAAAAACCCAGTAAACAAAAAACAAGTTGCTGTCGACTTCACTCCAATTCATGGCAACTCCATGTGTCAGAGTAGAACTGTGCTTGAGTTTTCAGCAGCTGATTTTTTGGAAGTAGACTGCCAGGTCTTTTTTCCTAGGTGCCTATGGGTAAACTCAAACTTCCAATCTTTTAGTTAGCTGGACAGTATCTCAACCATTTACACCCGGGGACTCCACAAAGAGGAAAGCACAGTGTAAATGCTGAGACAAAGATGCAGGCACATACAGACATGTTCACTGTGGCTCAGAAAAGGGATTCATGATTCGTTTTTCAAAGGTTCAAAGACAAATCCCAGCAAGACTTCTGGTTTGAGTCAAACCTCGTCTTGAACTTGTGACTTCTTGCCTGAGGTACTTGGCATACATAAGGGAAGAAATGAATACATTCAGATTCAGTTTTGCTAGATATTAAGCTAGAAGCCCAGCTAAGAGGATAAAACCAGCACAGAGATCACAATTAGTGTTTTTGGCAAAGAAGGTGTTTCTTATCAATGGAGTAGGGAAGGACTGAAATTGGAGTGTTAGTTCTTTAAGAAAGATCAAGGGGAGGTAAAAGAAGAATGTATGACTTCAGAGGAGCCATCTAAGAATGAAGAGAGACTATGAGAAAGAAATGAGAAAAGAAATAGAATTATGAGAAAGAAATAAAAAATTCAGTCCCTTTACTATGTGCTTTGGGAGCTCTGGTAGCGTAGTGCCTAAGGCTCTTGACTGCTAACCAGAAAGCTGGCGGTTCAAACCCACCAGCCACTCCTGGGAAGGAAGGTTGGGCAATCTACTTCTGTAGTAATACTGCCTTGGAAACCCAAGGAGGGGTCGCTATGAGTTGGGTCTGACTCAACGGCACATAACAACTATGTGCTTTAGGTATATGACAATGTTCCCTCCACCTTTTCCTGGAGGGGTATGTTACCAGGACCTAAAAAAAATCAAAACTCACTGTCACTGATTCAACTCATAGCGATTCCTCCTTGGGTTTCCGAGGCAAGCTTACCCTGTTTCAGACACCCAGGCCAGCAATGGGAAGGATACACTTGCAGTTTTGGCTCAGGTACTTTTCAAGTTGAATAAATTTGATTAAATACAGTGAACACAGTCCCAAGCCTCATACGCACTGCCGTGGAATTTGTATCTGACTCATAGCGACCCCTCCTTGGGTTTCCAAGGTGTTATCACTACAGAAGTAGATAGCCCAAGCTTCCTTCCGAGGAGGAACTGGTGGGCTTGAACCACCAGCCTTCTGGTTAGCAGTCAAATATGCCTTAGGCACTATGCTACCAGAGCTCCTCCAAGCCTCACAGCATGCAGATATGCATGCAATTCCCACCATCAAAAAGAACTCATTGTTCCTAAGGCAAAAAAAAAAAGACTGTGCCGTATCACGAAGAGCTCTACTGCAAAATCAAAGGCCCACAGTGAGTGACAGAATGATGCAGCCCAGTAGGACTCTTCAGTGTCCAGTGGGAATACTTTTGGCAGGTAGAAGAATGACACTCCACTGTATGTTATTTTAAAAATATTTTATCAGGGTGTAAGGACATTGATTTTTAACCTATACAAGTTGTGTTTGCTCTGGAGCAGAATCTGAATCGGGTACTTCTCTTCCCTCTTAGGAAGTCTTTGCTTTGGCTTGTTAAGAGTGTCTGAGCTCTGTGCCCTCTCTCCAAGCCCTTACTAACAAAAGGCTACACCTTCCTTCCACAATTACAGGTGTGCTCTTAATGGGCAGCCACCTACCTCAGTACTTAAGGCAACTGCTAAACATGCATGATCATCTGAAGAGCCTTTTCTGAAAAGGGAAGAGTGTATTGAAAAAGAATTTTCGTAAGCAGTTAAGTTTGAATCTACTAGAGAAAAGGTTACATGATGATGCTTCACTCTGATCGCATGAATGCAAAAATACTTGATTTTCACACTTATTTAGTACTGTGAATCTCTGTACTACACAAATAAGGCAAGGCTCACAGTTTCCCAAAGTGTAGAGATGGCATTCAAATGACAAAAGGCAAATTTTTTACTAATGGGTTGAAAGGTAACAACAGGTCATGTGGTCCACCAATTTGATCGAGGATCTTTTTATGTGGCAGCTCCTCTGCACCCAAGTGTATGCACGTGTGGGTAGAAGATGGAGGAGGTTCTATCAATGCCAATATTTCTAAAATGCTTATTCTGTCAAGTGTGCCAGTCATTTACAAAGGATGAGCTTGATTCTCCAAAATAACCCTAGGGGTATCTAGGAATTATTCTGTTTTCAATAGAGTGGTATGGTAGAAACGATAACATCTTTAACAACAAAATGTAGAATAGGCTGACACCTGGCAGGACAGTTCTCTACTAATTTTGAAAGCCTACAATCTGAGGTGGTCAAAGGCATGTTCATCATGGACAGGTTTCATTTCTAACAAGTATATACATATCACTAACCGAACTCACTGTGAGAAGGAAAATTGAGTATAAGAAGTAGACGAAGCCCAGGAGGACACAGACTGTCCCACAAACTAAGAGTTTCACACTGAGGATCAGTTCTTTCTCGGTACGTAATGCCACCAGTGGGGAGCAGAGGCACAGGAAGAGAGGTGGGGGGTGAGGGGAGAAAAACCTAGCATTCTAAGAGGCAATCAATGTCCCCATTATGCATGTTACAATACTTCATTAGACAGTAAGATATTCTAGCTGGAACGCACATAAAAAGTAACATAACATAACTTACTAAGACAATGAAAATTAAAAACAAACAACACAAATCTCCTGTGGGTGTAGAAGTATGGCTGTATCATTAACATTCTACACACAATACTATGGAGACACAGATAAGTGGCACAGGGACCAGCTGATTGATGTAAAGGATGGCTCACCAGGTGAAGAGGATTTGGTGGTGCTGGTTTAGTTCCGATGATTCTTTAGCACTTATGAAAGCTACTGTGCCTTTTAAGTGGAGTCCCTAAATCCTTTGTGTGATGGATTTAAAATTGTAGAGAATTACACGCAGTTTCTGTGAGTATGCACCACAAGTTAGACAAAGTTCACTGGTCCAGCCAGTGGACTCATCAAGGCCTCATCCACCACCACTTAGCATTATAGAGTCAACTAAACAGAACAGGTGAGAGGAATGATTATAAATTCTTGCTACCTTAGTGATTCTTGTAGTTACACACCAATAATCAGCAAAAAATAATAAATATAAAAATCAGGGTTAAAAGTTGAAATGAGTAACAAAGGATAACAATGGGGTGTTCTTAAGGCAAAATAATAGAGAGCTCTTTAAATAGATACTTTATTATATCCATAGGCGATAAAATCCCAGAGCTACTGTTAGGCATGTAAACACAGAGCCTGTGGAGGGGGGCGAAATTGAGAGTATATTAGTTGCATTAACAGTTATTTGAGGAAACACCTTTTTATTAAAAACACACACACCCATCCACCAAAAAACAATACAATTTGATGGCTCACTGATATGCCAACTTCCATGAAATGCCTGCCCATAAGTGAAACAGACTCCACAACCTGAAATCATTATCTTCAAAGCACAAAGCATCCAATAATTCAAAACTTTTCAAAGTTTAGACTCACACAAACTCTGTGCTCATGAAGTATATGTGTATGCACTTTGAAAGGACAAGGACTTTAAAAGAAAGAGCAAAATTTCACTACTATATACTGTTATAACTTTACTATTTGACTCATCCAAAATATTAAGTGTGACTTAAAATAATGGTTTAAGAATTTTTCTCATACATGAATCTGCATTCCCTCTTTTTCCAAACATGGTAAGGGCAAAAAGCTCCTTTAAAAGGGGGTCACCAATTGAGGCAGAAAAAATCACAACTCAAAAGCCATAAAATATTTATCTTGAATATGACTAAATGACTACAGTTCAGCTATAGTATCTTATCCAATATAAGATTCCATCAATTGTAAAATGCACCATTATCTTATTTATGACTAACAAAGAAAAATGCCAATTAAAGTATGATACTCCAGCTACAGTATGATGCCTTCCAATTTCTGAGATGTTAAAATAGGGAGAAAAAAAGTGTGTTAAAATCAAGGAAATGCAGTATCTGTCTTTGAGTTATTTCATGGGAAATTTTCAGCTTATTTTAAATATTTGGATACAAAGTAGCTTACCTGCTAAATATTTAATATTATCAAGCTTGTGTGATTCAAGCATAGTTTTGAGGCCAGCAACCTCAGTGTCAATCTTCCTATCTGTTTGAGTGAGAGCCCGATCTTGCTGGGCGTGCTTTGAAAACAAAGAGATTCACAGCATTAGAGGACCTCCGGTTAATGGCCTACCGCTCTGTCAACCCTAGTGTTCCTCCCCAGCAGGACACAGTCAAGGGAAATCTGGGCTAAGACTAAGGAGACTTGTACTTTAGTCTTACTTCTACTGTTCTCACACTATTAGTCAGGACCCTTACCTTCTCTGGGTCCCAGTTTTCTTCTCTTTATAAAAAGGAAATAACACTGGCCCTGCCCTCATATAGGCTATCTACAGAATCACATGTGATCATCTATGTGGAAAAGATTTTGCGAACCATAAATTGCATGACACAACGTTCTAAGTCAGTCTGTTCTTGGTTACATGCAATGAATGTCTTGTACTTCTCAATTCCCCTTACAAAATACTTTATCTTAAGGAAAGTTTAAATCTTAATGATTAAAGAATCTGAAAATAATAAGGAACATGGACTTTTATTATTTCTTAACTTAAGGCATACGTAAGAGCTCTGGTGGCATAGTACCTAAGGCATTTGACCATTAACCAGAAGGCTGGCGGTTCAAACTCAAAAAAGCTTAAAAAAAAAAAAAGGAGACTTAGATAATTTAAGAGCTATAGTGCTTGCCTTGATGCTATTTCTGTTCAGTTTTTAAAACTTCCTTCTTCCATAGTTCAAACAACAACAAACAACAAATGTTTCATTATCATGATGCTTGTCTATCCAAGGACCAATTTATATCCTTTCTCAAACATAATACAGTTAAACTGGCTACATAATTAATCCCCAAAGGGCAGTGAGTTTGGCTGATGCCAGGTTTAATACTGCCCTTGTACCCAAAGACACTGGAAACATTTCACTAAAAATCGTAGGGCAGTTGAGTAGCTTCCTACAGCTGCCAACTCTGGCAGAGAATAAGGAAATGCCTGGATGAGTAGAAACATCCCAGAGGCATTGATGAGCCATGGCTCTCTCACAGAAGCCTCCTATAGGTTCCAGAAATCCCAGGTAATACAGTATGGAAAAGAATCAACGTATGCCTTACTCACTGCCAGCGAGTGGATTAGACTCATATTGACCCCTCCTTGGGTTTCTGAGGTGGTATCTCTACAGAAGTAGACTGCCCATTCTTCTGAGGAGTGGCTGGTGGGGTTTGAACTGCCAGCCTTCTGGTTAACAGTCAAATGCCTTAGGCACTATGCCACCAGAGCTCTTATGTATGCCTTAAGTTAAGAAAATAACAAAAAGTCCATATTCCTTATTATTTTCAGATTCTTTAATCATTAAGATTTAAACTTTCATTAAGATAAAGTATTTTGTTAAGTGCAAAAACTCCTATGACAATAAATCCAAGAATAACTTCCTACAACACAGCATGACAAATAGCACTAACTGTGCACGGGATAAAACAAACATAATAAAATGACACAGGAAACTCAAAAGCCTCATGTCTTACCAATGCCACTACTTCTGTCCTCATTTCAAGCAGCTTCCTTTCATTCAATGAATACTGAAACAAACAGGTAACAAGGGTCAGGTTCTGATTTACCCCTTTTATCTCTTTTTCTTTTCTAGTGTCTTAAATATTCTGGTCTCAGGACTTCTAAGAATATATGACACCAGAAAATCACTTCTGGGATAAAGTAGCCTACCTGCCTTTCTCTTCATGTATTATTTGAGGTGCCCTTTTTATACCCACTCATCCCTCTAATATCTGGGTTCCTTTTTGTCATCCTTCACCCATTTCTCTGCTGTAGTTTTCTGTTTGCATCCCTGTCCTGGGATGTCTCCAGGTCCCTCCCACTATTTCAACAGCACCCCCAGGGCCAACCTAGATGGATGCTGAGTCATATACTGTTTTTGGCTTTGAGAGCTGAAAAATGGTGGAGAACAGTTCAACTTAAGACCTATCCCATCAAAACGACAATCAAAACAGGCCACAACTTGAGGCTTAGACAAAAGGCAGGAAAGATTTAGTTTCAAGGAGTATTATTCTGTGACAAAGACACTGTGTTATGATTATCAAATATAATATAAATACACAGACACAAAAACTACACTAAACCATCACAATGGTTTCAATTAAAAAAAAAAAAAAAAAAAAACCCAACCCACTTGGCTGTAGTCACTATAGAAACTGACCATGGTGCAGTATTATTGACACTGAGATTAAAATCAGACGTATCTCCTTATTGGTGGGCACCAGAATTTAATTGAATAAATGATAACCTGTAATTTAAGAGAAGAATTCAAAGGCCTAAATTAACACTGTTATTTATTTACTGATAGGATTAAAACTAATGCTTTGACGTATCTAGAAATTCTCTAGCTATAAAGTGTTCCCCTGGCACTATCAGGGGAACAGAACATAAAAACAACATTGCTTAGAAGTAGGAAAGAAAACAACCACCCCAAACTAAGGACTAGTCACAAGACCAAAGAACAATGGTCACCTCTGTCTTTGAACATCAGGGTTTCAGAAGAGGAGAGTGCTATGGATCAGATCACCACCAGAGGGCAGGGTGGAGCTGGTTTTCCTGGCCATCTTTCAACTCCAGTCTTCATTAAGAATATTGACTGATAATAACCCATGAGATAAAAGCCTCAATTTTGACATTACTGTGATTTTTAAAATAACACCTATGTGGCACTCCAAAACCATACGTCTCTTCAAACTGGCTGTAAATACCACCACAGATAATTTAAACACTATTATAAATCTATGAACCAAGGGAACAAAAGGGCCAAATAAATAACTGCTTTTCATCAACTCATGTTAAATATATGCTAGCTGAATGACACATAATTATTTAAATCAGTATTTAGGTAAACAATTTACAGTACTTGTGAACTGTATACGAATTGAGACTTGACCAAGCATCGCATTCTGAAAAGAAATGAATTCCATAATCTATTTTCAATTTTTATAAAGGAACATACCAATTCTTTTGCTCTGCTCTTTTCTAGATTGAAGTCTAATTTGGTATCTGTTCGGACTTTGATCACTTCATCCTTGCAGGAGCACAAACAAGAAAGAAAGAAAGAGATCCAAAATGAGAAATCAAAACCCTTTGACGATGGGTGGAAGTGCTGCCCCATACCTTCTAGCTTCCATTGTAAGGACACAGCTCAGGGACTCCAAGCAATGGCACTAGGGTATAATGATGCTGGGAGACATGCAGAGTCAATCCTTCTTTAGGACTTCTCATGTATATACACCAAATAATCATTTTGTATGCTTAAGCCAGTCTGAGATAGGTTTTCATTGTTGTTACTGCTTTTGACCTCAAGATTCCCAATAAATTGGACCTCATAGATATATCCAGAACACTCCATGCAATAACAGCACAAGATGCATTCTTTTCCAGTGCACATGGAACTTTCTTCAGAACAGACCATATGTTAGGCCACAAAGCAAACCTCAATAAATTAAAAAATATGTATCAAAATACCAAAAGGCATCTTCTCAGATCACAATGCTATAAAATTAGAAATCAACGACAGGAAGATCATGGGAAAAAAAATAAAATACATGGAAACTGAGTAATACCCTGTTTAAAAATTACTGGTTGTTAAAAAAAAATATGAAATAAAAAATACCAAAATCTTTGGGACACAGCAAAAGCAGTACTCAGAGGACAATTTATAGCAATGGATGCATATATATATACACACACACACACACACACACACACAAAGAATCAAAATCAACACCTTAAGCCAACATCTCCAAGTAGATTTGAGCAGAAATAAATGAAACAGAAAACAAAAACAATAGAAATAATAAACAAGATTAGAAGTTGGTTCCCTGAAAGGATTAATAAAACTGACAAACCACTGGCAAATTTAACAAAGGAGAAAAAAAAAAGTTTTCCCAACACAGTCTCCTTATGAAACTTAGGAATAAAACTGTTCTCTGGACAAATTTTAGAAAGCAGAGATGGACTCAAAGAAGTAAAATATTAAATTCTGACTTGAATAAAGCTTTCTCTTTAACACTCATCATAATCTTTTCCTCTTTCACATCAATGTCCTTTCTACTTAGAAAAATCAAATAGCATGGTAAGGATTTAAAAATCACATGTAATTTTCTAAAGACAGAGTCTTGTGTACAAGAATCTAAAGGTTTAACATGGCAACTTTAGAACAATTATGATTTTAAAATGACTTAATTCCTTCTACAACACAATTTTGTTATAACGAATTTGGTTAAAGACATAAGTCAATGATTTATCCATTGACTGTGTTCTTAGCTAAACAAATCTTCCATTGTGTTCTTTAGAGACATATTACACAAACATTTAACATAGCATTAAGTTTTTAAGATTATATTGCATTTATTAATAAATTTATATAACTAAAAATAAGCAAGCAAACAAGGAAGAGGGCCTTACCGTCACTCGTTGTTTTAACTGAAGTAGTTCAAGTTTTATTTTCTAAAAAACATATGAAAAAGAAACGAGTCATGATTATACATAGTTAAAAAAATTAAAAAATATATGTAAGATCTGGTAATTAACAAGTATTAAAATACATATTCATGCACAAGTTCTTCCCTCATTCAACTGGATCTTGACTACATTCAGAATACAGTATTAGAATAATATTAAATGAAGTCACAACAGCAGAAAACGATTATCTGTCACATGAGGACAGTGATGCAATGCATGTATGTGTGTATTATCTTGAAATCACAGATTTAATTATCTTAAAGGTTACATAAGTACTCGGATGCTAACTGAAAGGCTGGCAGTTCAAATCCACCAGTCACTCTGGGGAAGAAAGATGCGGTAGTCTGCTTCCATAAAGACAGACAGTATTGGAAACTCTATGGGGTAATTTTATTTTGTCCTATAGCAAGACTGTGAGCAGGAATCAACTTAATGGTAATAAGTTTGTTTTTTTTTTCTGGTGTTGGGGGGTGGTTAAAATTATCAATACAATTAAGCTACTTGGTTTTTTTTTTACTTGCAAAAAAGCCTTTTTATCACTAAGAATTCTTAATTTTGTAGAGATGAAAATAAATTCAAGATATCTGGACTGACTTGGAAATCTTTTTTTTTTTTTTTTTTTTTTGTGATTTGGGTGAAGATTTACAGAGCAAATTCACTTTCCATACAGCAGTTCACATACACTGTCTCATGAAATTGACCACAGTTTACCACAATGCAACAGCTCCCCTCCCACTTCCTCCCCATAGTTACCTCTTCCCTGTGTCCATTCCTCCACGCACTTCTGCCCCCTGAGTTGTCTCCCTGTGCATAAGCAGCCCTTCTTTCTCCCATGACTGTTCTCTCCAAGGAGTGTATCTACATGAGGTAAATGTTCAACTCATATGCCTATCTTTTGTTTGGCTGGAAACCACGGGTGTGGGTTCAATTCCAGATCTGAAGGGCAGCTAGGGGCCATAGTCTCAGTGGTTCCACCAGGCTCTATCAGACCAGCAAACCTGGTCCCTCCCCACCCTTTTTTTCCTCCAAATGATTTTGAGTTTTGTTTCACATTGTTCTCCCCCTCTAAGAAGGATCTCCTACATGGATCCCCTTCCAAGTGGATGGCAGTGGTAGCCGGGCACCATCTAGTTCTGGTCTCATTGACTTGGAAATCTTACTGTCATTAATGTAAGAACCTGAGAATAAAGATGAGTTGGCAGCATCTGGTTTTGGCTCCAGAAGGGACATGACAGCCAGGAGGGAAGAAGAGTAGGACTTGGGTCAGGTCTGGCCAGGTCCAAAGCAGGCAGTTGTATGTTAGTACCAAAGTCCAGAAGGTAAGCAAAAACAGAGTTGAAGATTTCTGTTCATCCAAAGGACATCAGACATAAATTCCAATTAAATAGCCTGGGGTTAGTGTGTGAGTTTGCTAATGAGACTTAAGGGGATTCTGGACGGAGGGACGGTGAAGACTATGTCCTAGGATCAGAGAAACTGCTCTGCAGAAGCAGCAAGATAGGTTTATGAGCATATATTATAACCAAGTCAGTCAACAGATTAACTAGGAGCCATAGACAGAAGCCAAAACCAGCTTGTCTAAGTTCTTCACATTGTTGGGGCATCTTATGTTAAAATAGGCTATTTTTAAGCTACTTCACACACACATGTGCCTTTAACAAACAAAAACTGGCTGCCATGGAGCCGTTCCAACTCCTAATGACCCTATAGGACAGAGTATACCTGCCCAGAGGGTTTCGTAGGCTATAAATCTGTATGGGAGCAGACTGCCTCATCTTTCTCCCACGGGGCTGCTGATGGGTTTGAACGGACCGGCCTTTTGGTTAGCAGCCTAACGCTTTAATCTGTGCCACCAGAGCTCCTTTGCCTTTAACAGATCTGCTTTTATCAATACCTCTTTCGATTTTCATTGGACTAATTTTGCCCTCTAATAGCTGATGTTAAGGACAATTTAAGAGTTTTAAGCTTCACTTTTTCTGCTAGACGGTCTCCTACGAGGCTAAAATCAAAAGGTAATAAATGCCCTTCTCTGAAAGGACTTTAAAAAGAACAGAAAACAAAAGGAAGATGCATAGAGAACAGTTCCTTAGTTGCTGATCTCATAAATCACACTTTCAGAAATTAAGAAAATACATACATAATAACCAAAAACTGACAACAATTCAAATGTACATAAACAGCAGAAGAGGTAAATAATTGTGGCATATTGTACAACAGAATACCATGGACAATGAAAAAGAATGATCTACTGCTACATGCAACATAATGTTGAACAAAAGACACGCTCTATTTCATCAGATGAAGCTTTAGAATATGCAGAACTATTCAATGGTGATACAAGCCAGGACAGCAGCTTCCTCTGTGGGAGAGGTGACTGGATGGGGGCAGGAGAAGGACTTCTAGGGTGCTGGTATGTTCCAGTTCTTGCTTTGACTGGTAGCAAGCACTTTGTGAAAATTCATCAAGATGTACACTTCCTTGCGCACTCTGTGTATGTAAATTATATCTCAACGTCTTAGTGTAAAGTGTTTTGTAAGTATGCACAGCTCCATAGTTTTACCTCGTTTTCTGCTCTGAGGGCTGAAAATTCACTCTTCTCCAAAATAATCATGTCCTTTTTCACATTAGCAATCTGAGACATTATTTGCTGAAGAGTGATCTCCTAAGAAAAGAAAAACCAAAACGTATTAACCTTGTCTAGCCTAGAAAGTCCATCTCCTAACTTCTCTACCTGGTATCATCCTTAGGAGAAACGAGAAAATGCAGGCAAGAGAAGAGGTTCAGTAAATCATCTATTCCAGAATGAGAAAGGAAAAGAATTAACAACGTATGTTCAGTATTGACACCAAGTGAATCATAATGAAAAGGGTGGAAGTCTGGAAACTAGTAGCTCAAGAACATGATGCTATAATTCTGGCCACATCTCCACTTAACCAAAGTATGTTTGGAATAGTGAGTTTCCAAGGATAATGATTCTACAATAGTTGACTATGTAACTATGAATTTTTTTTTATGCCACTGTAATCATTTGTCTATCAACTATGGTTAAAACCACTATATACTTTTCAGCTGAATATTATCCAAAGAACTACAGTACATATAATATCCCACTTTCAGATCTCACACTGCTAAACCACCCAAGAAAGCTAACCTGTTGCATCTTGTTGACCATATCTTTGTAGACGATATCCAAGTTGGCTTCTGTGATCTTGACCAATGCAGACACAATGATTTCTGCTTGCTGAGTAGTAAACCCTAAACACACACACCAACAGAACTACAGTCAGAGGAATTCTAGTTGTCAGAAAGGGAGACAATATACAGCAAACTTACATATTCAGGTGAATGTCTGAATTCAGAAGCAGAGAAGGGGCAGTGTGGAGGGAGAGGGATGAGGAGACTCAGGTTGTGGATGTGTCTGTCGCACTGGGCAAGTCAGGAACATCTGAGTCTGTTCCTCATGCAAAATGAGGTGCCTGGGCTGACGGCAATCTCTAACATCCTTCCCAGCTGTTAAAAATAACGTTTTCAAAGAATGTCTAAAGACATCAGGAATGCTTGCAATGTAATGTAGAAGTAAAAAAGCAAGACTCAAAACTACAGATACAATGATGGTTTTTGTAATTCAACAAAGATGCCAGGTAATTTTTATCTTCTTCCTTCTATTTCTCTGAATTGTCTAAAATTTCCACAGTGAACATGATATCTTTCATTAAAGAATGTAAGTGCAACTTAAAAATCATTTACTTAAAGTTCAATTATTTTTTTTATTATTTTTTTTTTTATTAGGATTTGGGTGAAGATTTACAGAGTAAATTCACTTTTCATACAGCAGTTCACATATACTTTGTCTCATGTCATTGACCAAAATTTACAATGCAGCAGCTCCCCTCCCACTTCCTCCCCATAGTTAACTCCTCCCAGTGTCCATCCCTTCATACTCTTCAAGAGGCCCATTGTCTGCTAACCCTGTATATGATCTTGGATACACTCTCCATTTAGACATACATAATTGTTTAGCTTGTTCACCCATCTATCCGTCCCTATACCCATGTTTGCTTTCATTGACAACTCAGTATTGTATTTGCAAAGGGGTTCATATTTGTTGTTTGTACTGCCCATGTAACTCTCTCTGTTTTTCTCATCCTCAATGCTGCCATATTGGTCACTCACATTTGGTACAGTGCCCTTCTCTTCACCCAAATCAATATTTATCTCTATCTATCTAACAGCATTCCCTCCCCTTCCCTCCCACCCCTGGTAACCAACAAAGAAAATGTCCTCCAATATATAAACCTTTCCTTAACAAGTTCAATTATTTTATATGCAGTATAACTGACTATGTAAGTAGTAATTTAGCTGTTAGTTAACTTTTCCAATGCTAAAACCAAAATCTGTTCTTTCATTTTTTTCCTCCATAGTTCTAGGAGCTCTGGTGGTGTAGTGCCTAAGGCATTTGATTACTAACCAGAAGGCTGGTGGTTTCAATCCACCTCCTCAGAAGGAAAGTTCCTTCCTCCTTAGAAGGAAAGTTGGACAATCAATCTACTTCCATAGTGATATCACCTCGGAAACCCAAGGAGGGGTCACTGTGAGTCAGACCCAACTTGACAGAAGTCAGTTTTTTTTTCATAGTTTCTTTGGTCACTACTTTGGTAGGGGGGTTCCAGATGTATACTTTCATAATAAATAAATAAGGTTGAACTGAATTATATAAAGATTTAACTCAGCAGTAGCACAGTTTTAAGAACTTCAGATGGTAGCTTATGTTTCACGCTGGAAATATTAATAAAATGCTTGAACCAACTCCCTGAAAAGCAATTCTTTCTCTTAAATACTTCCATCTGTACGAACTTCAGAAGAATCTACTGATTTTTATAATTAACTAATTAATTATGGAACGTTTGTTTGGGTAAGACTGTAATCAATATAATTTGTCTGGATGAAATTAAGCATGGGACTGTAATTAAACACACACAAACACACACACAGATTTAAAGAAGGAAAAAAGCTCCAAAGACCTACTTTAAAATCATCTGATTCAAAATCTTTTACTTATGTATTTATTTATAACATATGTGTCACACACACATCTATAAAAAACATCCAAAAGGGGACTCACCAAAATAATGCTGTTCACCTCTGGATTATTGGGACTACAGGTATTTTTCTTGTTTTCTTTTTGCTTTTCTATAGGGCACTGCTCGGAAGGAAGGTTGGGCAATCTAAATCTACTTCTGTAGTGATACTGCCTCGGAAACCCAAAGAGGGGTTGCTATGAGTCAGGTCTGACTCGATGGCACATAACAACAACAACACAGGGCACTGCTTTGAACTGGTTCAAGCACAGCTGATGCAGAGAAACTGGAACAGATCTGAATTTGTACAATGTGGGTGCACTGGAACAACAGCCAGAATGGGTAAAACTATGGGTTGAAACCCTGGAATGGGAGACTCAGAAGACATGCGGTGAACCCTATCAGGAGCGTGATGCAGGATGCTGGATTACTGCCACAGCTGTGGAGAGTGACACACATTCAAGGTGACTAAGTTAGCCACCATCTTTGAGCCAGATATCACTGTTTCCACTCTGCCGGTCAAGAGACTTCGATGCTCTGCAACATACATGCTGCTCTTATTTTCGAAGAAGGAGATTAAGTTTCCAGCAGGGTGTCAACCTTTAATATCTTCCCACTTCAATTATTATTCCCGTACATCTACATTTTACAAATTTGGGTCCATTACAGTTTCACTTTGTTGGATGTGACTGAACTGGGAAGAACCAGTTCGAAGCCTTGCTTTCTATTCTCTCAGTTTTTCTAAAATGAATGTGTCTTTGTAATTTTTTAAAACTTTATTAATAGGAGTTCATGGTTAGACATCATAAGGCTTGACAAATATGAGGAAAAGAAAAAATAGACACTGAAAGGGAGCTTATAATGATTATAAAACAAACTCTCCAAAGCCTTATAATTTATAATCACCAGTGGGAGGAGCAAAGGGGTAAGAGAAAGCAAGAAGTTAAACCTGAACACTTATGCAGCTGCCAGATACAAATTTGTTTTTGTTAGAATCACAGAAAGATCTTGTTCAAGGGTTAGTTGGATAACAAAAACACAGGAAGTTATGTTAATCAGGAGACACAGCTCTGGAGGAAAAAAGTATACAGGATGGAATATGCCTTGAACAGTCCTTCCTAGCCTTTCCCAACTCAGTTATCTCAGACACCCCCTTATTCCTCCATGGGGCCAGGCTGAGTAGCAGGGGGCACCTTCACACTGCATGCTTCAGTGGGGGTCACTGGTTTCAAAACATGCAACTACTCACTGGTCAAGATTTAAAATGAAGAAAAATAGGAAGATTTCTACTTATCAAGGTAATTTTAGATATCCCCTTTCCCACTTCCGCTTTTCTTTTGTAAATTTTTGCCTGAAAAAAGTTTTGGTGAAAAGGCCTATTGTGTCAAGTTTGACAAGTTGTAAAAATTATTATATAGTACTTGACAGTTTTTCAAAAGAGCATTTATTTAATCTCAGAAGGATCTCAGGAGTTCCTATTACGACCATTCTACAGATAAGGAAATGGAAACTGAAAGGGTGAAGCTATGCATTTAGAACTTGGCAGAGCAGGGCTTGAACCCAGAACTTCTAACTCCCCCAGATAAACACAGAACACTTCATTCCATCATTCTGTCTTGAACATGTAAAACACATCTATTGAGGGTAGCTTTCCAACTATGAATATACACAACTGGATAAACTGGTACACAGTGAAATAAGAACACAGATGTATTTATTTCAAAAGGTGTTGGGTGACACAAATACTTTGTGCTCAACTACTAATCTTAAGGTTGGTAATTTGAACCCATTCAGAGGTACCAGGGAAGAAAGGTCTGGTGATCTCCTTCTGTAAAGATTATAGCTAAGAAAACACTACAGAGCAGTTTTTAAGTCAGAACTGATCTGATCAACACCTGATTTTGGTAATTCAAATAACAATTTAACATAATCTATGTTAACTTAAAATTCCAATCTTGAGATATGTGTACAGAGAATTTTAATTGGGAGTATTTATTTAGATAAGATTAAATATGAGAATAGTAACTATATATTAAATTCACTTTCAATGAACGTCATATATGGCAGATCGATCTTGTACATCAATCAACTCTATAGCAAAAAGGGAAAATGTTAGCCTGGAATGAAAGGGAAAAAAGAAAAAAAAAACCCACTAAGCTGAAATTATCAATAGATGATGCTCAGCAACATTGCGATTTCATAAAAATTTTAAACGCACATAAGATGGGTAATAAAAACTATCACTTTTGTGCTTTAGAACCAGTTGCCCTAGGAACCGTTCTTGAGTTTTGCTGATGTGTGTGTAAATTTTTATCTGCAACACTATACCTCCATAGTCATGTTCTAGAGTACATTTGTCTTGAACAAGAACACAAGTGAGAAAAGCCTCAACTGTACTGATGAAGTCAAAATGTCCTTAAATAAAAAATGAGGACTTAACTTTTGTTTTTGTTATTTTGACACTGAACAAGATTACCTGTAGACTGGAAAGTCAAAAACAAATATGAGAAATCTGATAAAACCCTAAGAAAAGTAAAAATTGATAGCGTTTGTCTATGGCACTGAGTAACCAACCAAAATAAATTACCATTTTCCTCAAATAAGCACACGAGGGCATGGGTGTCAAAGAAGAACTTCCTAGTCCCAGATGAGGGGAAATCGCTCCTTTTGTGCTGCAGCTGCAAGGACCCAGCAGAGAGGCTGAGATCTAGGATGGAGAGGGCAATAAGGTTCAGACCATTTTTAATGGCAACAAAAGCAACAGGAAAAAATATGGCATACCCCAACATCCTATCTTCTTTTTTATAATAGTTTCACTGAGATACAGTTCATCTACCATGCAATTCACCCTTTTAAAGTATATAATTCAATGACTTTTAGTGTATTTACAACTGTACAACCATCACCACAATCGATTTTAGAACATTTTTATAAGGAATTACCAGACTGTTTTCCACAGCAGCTGTACCATTTTACATTCCCATCAGCAATGTATGAGGGTTTCAACTTCTCCACATCCTTACCAACACTTGTTATTATGCCTTTCTTATTACAATTATTATCTAACTTTTTGATTCTAGTCATCCTAGAGAGTGTGAAGTGGTCTCACTGTGGTTTTGATTTGCTTTTCCTTAATGGCTAATTATGTTGAGTATGTTCATATGTGCTTCTTTGCCATTTGTATATCTTCTTTGGAGAAATCTCTTTGTCTACTTTTTAGTTGGATTGTCTTTCTACAATCAAGTTATAAGAGTTATCTTATGATATATGATTGCAAATATTTTCTCCCATCCTGTGGGCTGTCTTCTCACTTTCTTGATGGTGTCTTTTCAAGTATAAAAGTCTTTCATTTTGATGAAGCCCTATTTATTTTTTCTTTTGCTGCTTGTGTTTTGGTGTCATATTTAAGAAATCATTAGCTAATCTAAGTACACAAAGATTTATACCTACGTGTTCTTCTAAGAGTTTTACAGTTTTAGCTATCACATTTAAGTCTTTCATCCCTCTGAGTCAATTTTTGTATATGGTGTGAGAGAGGGGGTCTAACTTCATTCTTGTGCATCTAGATTTCCAGTTGTCCCAACACCATGTTGAAGACTACTTTCCCCACTCAACTGTCTTATGACCCTTGTTGAAAATCAACTGACTGTAAATATGAGGGTTCATCTCTGGACTCTATATTATAGTCTGCCTTTATGCCAGCACTGCACTATTTTAATTACTTTTTTTTACCTTTTTTTTTTTTTTTACTTTTTTTTACCTTTTTTTTTTTTTTTACTTTTTTTTACCTTTGCATTTCTATATAAATCTTAGGATCAGTTTGTCAATTTCTGCAAAGAAGCTAGGTAAGAGTTTGATAGGGTTTGGATTAAATCTATAGATCAATTAGGGGAATATTGCTATCTTAATATTAGGTTTTTCCATGGGATGACTTTCACTTATTTAGGACCTTAATTTCTTCAACAGTGTTTTGTAGTTTTCGGAGTATAAGTTCTGTGCTTTTTTTGTGAAATTTATTCGTAAGTGTTTTACTTTTTATGGTGCTATTGTAAACGGAGTTGTTTTCTTAATTTTTTTAATTTCATCTTCAGATTGTCCATTGCTACTAAATAAAAACAACTGATTTTTGTATATTAACCCTGTATCCTGCAATGCTGCTGAAATAATTTATTAGTGCTAATAGTTTTTTAATGGATTCCTTAGGATTTTCCATATACATGGTCATGTCTTCTGCAAACAGTGACAGTTTTACTTCTTCTGCTCCAATCTGGATTCCTTTTATTTCATTTTCTTGTCCTAACCGCCCTGGCAAGAACCTCCTATACAATGTGGAATAGGGTGGCAAGCATAGACATCCTTCTCTTGCTTCTGATCTTAAAGAGGAAAGTATTCAGTGTTTCACCATTAGGTGGGTTACCATACCAGCTGCCGTTGAGTTGATTCTGATGTGTGCACGTCCGAGCAGAACTGTGCTCCATAGGAGTTTCAGTGGCTGAGTTAGCAGAAGTAGATCACCAGGCCTTACCTCCAAGGCATCTCTAGATAGACTCAAACTCCCAACCTTTTAGTCAGCAGTGGAGCAAGTGCTAATTATTTGTACCGCCCAGGCAAGTATGAAGCCAGTTGTATCCTTTATCACCTTGAGAAAGTTACCTTCTATTATTCCTAATTTACTGTTGTTGTTTTTTAAAAAAAATCATGAAAGGGTGTTGAATTTTGTTAAATGCAAATGCTTTCTTTGTGTTTACTAAGATAATTAGGTGGTTTTTGTCTATTATGCTATTAATATGCCCATATACATGAATTGATTTTCAGAAATTCAACAAACCTTCCATTCCTGGGATAAATCTACTTGGTCATGGTGCTGGATTTGGTTTGCTAGTATTTTGTTGAGGATTTTTGTATCTCTATTCATAAGAAATATTAGTCTGTAGTTTTCTTGTGATGTCTTTATAAAAACCTATGTTTAGAGAAATACATGCTAACAATTTTTATACTATCTTCTCTATAATTTGTGCATTCAATTATAGACCAAATTAATTTTTAAATTTGTTTCAAAGTGCTCATTTGGGGAGTTAGTATAGTATATAAACAATGGTTTCCTGGCTTTTGGATTTTCTGAACAGGTGCTCTCATCATGTAGTGCCTAAAGCATTTGACTGCTAACCAGAAGGCTGGCAGTTCAAACCCACCAGCCACATCTTGGAAGGAAGACTGGGCAATCTACTTCCATAGAGATATCGCCTCGGAAACATAGAGGTCGCTACAAGTCAGATCTGATTGACAGCAGTGTGTTTGGAATTCTTTCTTTTTTGGAACAAGTTAAATAGTGTTTTAAAAAGAAAAAAGGATTAATAGGCTTGCAAATTTCAAAATTTGTCTAAAAAGTACATTTAAACATAATAGCTGCTTGCACTTGCTCCACTGCTGACTGAAAGGTTGGAAGTTTGAGTCTATCTAGAGGTGCCTTGGAAGAAAAGCCTGGTGATCTTCTTCTGATAACTCAGCTATTGACTCTGACACACACAGGTCCGACACATGTCTGAATCAACTTGGCAGCCAACTGGTGGGGTAACACACCTAATGGTGAAACACTGAATACTTTCCTCTTTAATGTAATGCTAACATTACACTAAAAAAAACATTTTAACGTTGTAAAAAAAAGGTGGTCATTTAAAATTAAGAACCTTAATTTAAATTTAATAAACTTAGATATATTAAAATCTTAATACATATCTGCCCTTATTTATTGATACAGAATTCTGCCGTAGAGCAGTACCAGTGTGAAGTCAGGTGGAGAAGAGTGGCAGGAGAGAGAAGTCATTTACTAACTCAAGCATCTCCTCAGCAGGTCTCCCAAATGACCAGAAAGATACTTCAGCTAATCAACTATCACTCTCAAATTCTTTACCCCCAAACACTCTAAAAACACGACATGGACTAGGCTCTACCAATCTAATGTATCTCTGTGGCCTACAGCAGTGGTTCTTAACCCCCCACCTCCCACCCCAGCAACTTGGGAAAAGGAGAGTGGTTGTGATCATGAGCAGCATCAAGATAAGTAACAAGAGATAATTCAGTGAGTGTGTGTATTTAATGGTAAAAATGAGATTCAAAGAGGGAGTCCCTGGGTGGCACAAACAGTAAAAGCATTGATTATTGGTTCTAAGATTGTCAGTTCAAAATCACCCAGGGGGAGCTTGGTAGACAGGCCTGGCAATCTGCTTACAAAAGATCACAGCCTTGAAAACCCTATGAAAACATAAGATCATCATGAATCAGAATCAACCCCACCCCAAAGCCACAAGATTCAAAGATACTTAGCAAGGCAGACAAAAACTTTCATTCGGCCCACTTACCCTTTCAGTTTTCTAGCCACCTAAGCTATTTTGTTTCCTGTACTTTCACGCCTTGATACTCCATCTTTAGGTCTGGCCTGCTGCCCTTTCCTAATTGGTAAATTTTAAACTTAATCTGACAATTTACTAAGCACCTATTATGTTCCAGACATGGCCTTATGCTTCACTCTGGTTCTCTCTGCTACCTTCTCCCAGGTCAGGGAGCACCCTTAAATGCTCTTATCTGTGTTCTCAGAGCACAGCCAAGATAGCTTTATCACAGCACTTAGTACCTCATTTCTGTAACTGCTGGAGTCCCTGAGTGGTGCAACCCAAAAGGTTAGAGGTTCAAATCTACCCAGAGGCATCTCAGAATAAATGCTTGAGGATATACTTCTGAAAAATCAGCCACTGAAAACCCTACAGAGTACAGTTCTACTTTAACACGCACGAGGTTGCCAAGAGTCAGAGTTGACTTGATAGCAACTGGTATACATAGCATCTAGCAGAGAGCATGGCATCCTGCAGACAAGGAATTCTTGTTTTTATTTTTATTTTTTAATTAAACTGCATGATGCCTAAGATTTGGAACCTGAAGCACTCTAGAAAGAAAATCTGAGATCAACTCAGGCCTTCCTCTTGCACATAAATGCAACGCAACATACTGCCATTGAGTCAGATACGATTCATAGCGACCACTCCTTGGGTTTCCAAGAAGTCAAATGTCTTAGGCACTACACTACCAGAGCTCCTGTCATATAAATGAGCTCATGTAAATTTGGTACCTGGGCCTAAAACTGGCCTCCACAAGAGACTGTGAATGTCTGTCTGACACAGAACAGCTCCACAGGCCACCTCACTCATGTTAGAATTCAGCTGGATTGTCCTCATGGGTCAGGGAGCTTGAAAACACCCCAGTCTAGAACTGGCCTGTGAAAAGTGAAGGAAGTATTCTAGCCCTCAATCCCTGGTTTCTTATAACCAACCAACCATTCATGTGATTACAAAAATGCTCCTCTCCCCAAAACAAACACATAGACAAACAAGACCAACTACTGAAAATTCTTTCAGAGCAAGAAATAATACTTATTTGGATACTGTAGATTCTTTTCCAAAAATGACTGGAATCAGAAAGAGCAAGCTAATTTCAAAGAAATACTGCCCTCTGAAAAGTGGGGAAAGAAGGGCAGACCACTTCCCACTTGGCACTCCAGCACGTGGCAACTGAAGTGAATGCCATCTTGCTTTTCCTCAATGGGTAACGCCTAAGGAATACCAACACTCAGAGCACCACTGACTCATTTTTCCTTTTATTGTGACAACAAAACAAGGTCCAAGAACTATGAATTCCCACAGTAACCAGGAAGCA